AAATGCGCGGCAATGCTGTGGACAAGAAGTAAGGCCAAAGTTCGCGGCGATGCTGTGGACAAGAAGTAAGGCAAAATTCCCGGCGATGCTGTGGACAACAAGTAAGGCAAAATTCGTGGCGATGTTGTGGAAAAGAAGCAAGGCAACATTCGCGGCGATGCTGTGGACAAGAAGGATGGCAACATTCGCGGCGATGCTGTGGACAAGAAGGATGGCAACATTCGCGGCGATGCTGTGGACAAGAAGTAAAGCAAAATTCGCGCCGATACTGTGGACAAGAAGCAAGGCAAAATTCGCGGCGATGCTGTGGACAAGAAGTCAAATTCGCGGCGACGCTGCAGACAAGAAGTAAGGCAGGATTCGCGGCGATGCTGTGGACAAGAAGTAAGGCAAAATTCGCGATGAGGCTGTGGACAAGAAGTAAGGCAAAATTTGCGGCGGTGCTGTGGACAAAAAGTGAGTCAAAATTTGCGGCGATGCTGTGGAAAAAAAGCAAGGCAAAATTCGCGGCGATGATGTGGACAAGAAGTGAGGCAAAGTGCGGCACGGCTGTGGACAAGAAGTAAGGCAAAATTTGCGGGGATGCTGTGGACAAGAAGTAAGGCAAAATAAGCGCCGATGCTGTGGACAAGGGAGTAAGGCAAAGTTCGCAGCGATGCTGTGGACAAGAAGGATGGCAACATTCGCGGCGATGCTGTGGACAAGAAGGAAGGCAACATTCGCGGCGATGCTGTGGACAAGAAGTAAGGCAAAATTCGCGGCGATGCTGTGGACAAGAAGTAAGGCAAAGTTCGCGGCGATGCTGTGGACAAGAAACAAGGCAAAGTTTGCGGCGATGCTGTGGACAAGCAGCAAGGCCAAATGCGCGGCGATGCTGTGGACGAGAAGTACGGAAAACATCGCGGCGATGCTGTGGACAAGAAGAAAGGCAAAATTCGCGTCGATGCTGTGGACAAGAAGTGAGGCAAAGTGCGGCAAGGCTGTGGACAAGAAGTAAGGCAAAATTTGCGGCGATGCTGTGGACAAGAAGTAAGGCAACATTCGCGGCGATGCTGTGGACAAGGGAGTATGCTGTGGACAAGAAGGATGGCAACATTCGCGGCGATGCTGTGGACAAGAAGGAAGGCAACATTCGCGGCGATGCTGTGGACAAGGGAGTAAGGCAAAAGTCGCGGCGATGCTGTGGACAAGGGAGTAAGGCAAAATTCGCGCCGATGCTGTGGACACGAAGTAAGGCAAAATTCGCGGGTATGCTGTGGACAAGAAGTAAGGCAAAATGTGTGGCGATGCTGTGGACAAGAAGTAAGGCAAAACTGGCGGCGATGCTGTGGACAAGAAGTAACGATGCTGTGGACAAGAAGTAAGGCAAAAATTGTGCGGCGATGCTGTGGACAAGAAGTAAAGCAAAATGCGCGGTGATGCTGTGCACAAGAAGTCAGGCAACACTCGCGGCGATGCTGTGGACAAGAAGTAAGGCAAAAGTCGCGGCGATGCTGTGGACAAGAAATAAAGCAAAATTCGCGCCGATGCTGTGGACAAGAAATATGGCAACATTCGCGGCGATGCTGTGGACAAGAAGTAAGGCAAAATTCGCGGCGATGCTGTGGACAAGAAGCAAGGCAAAGTTCGCGGCGATGCTGTGGACAAGAAGGAAGGAACAGTTCGCGGCGATGCTGTGGACAAGAAGTAAGGCAACACTCGCGGCGATGCTCTGGAAAAGAAGTAAGGCAAAATTCGCGCGATGTTGTGGACAAGAAGTAAGACAAAATTCACTGAGATGCTGTGGACAAGAAGTAACGATGCTGTGGACAAGAAGTAAGGCCAAATTCGCGGCGATGCTGTGGACAAGAAGTAAGGCAAAAGTCGCGGCGATGCTGTGGACAAGAAGTAAGGCAAAATTCGTGGCGATGCTGCGGACCATAAGGAAGGCACAATTCGCGGCGATGCTGTGGACAAGAAGTAAGGCAAAATACGAGGCGATGCTGTGGACAAGAAGTAAGGCAAAATCCGCGGCGATGCTGTGGGCAAAAGCAAGAAAATTTGCGGCGATGCTGTGGATAAGAAGTAAGGCAAAGTTCGCGGCGATGCTGTGGACAAGAAGGAAGGAAAAATTCGCGGCGATGCTGTGGACAAGAAGTAAGGCAAAGTTCGTGGCGATGCTGTGGACAAGAAGGAAGGCAAAGTTCGCGGCGATGCTGTGGACAAGAAGTACGGCAACATTTGCGGCGATGCTGTGGACAAGAACTAAGGCAAAGTTCGCGCCGATGCTGTGGACAAGAAGGAAGGCAAAATTCGCAGCGATGCTGTGGACAAGAAGTAAGGCAAAATTCGCGCCGATGATGTGGACAACAAGTAAGGCACACTTCGCGCCGATGCTGTGGACAAGAAGTCAGGCAAAATTCGTGGCAGTGCTGTGGACAAGAAGCAAGGCCAAATTCGCGGCGATGCTGTGGACTAGAAGTCAGGCAAAATTCGCGGCGATGCTGTGGACAAGAAGTAAGGCAACACTCGCGGCGAGGCCGTGGACAAGAAGTAAGGCAAAACTCGCGGCGATGCTGTGGACAAGAAGTAAGGCAAAATTCGCGGCGATGCTGTGGACAAGAAGTAAGGCAAAATTCACGGCGATGCTGTAGACCAGAAGTACGGCAAAACTCGCAGCGATGCTGTGGACAAGAAGTAAGGCAAAATTCGGGCGGATGCTGTGGACAAGAAGAAAGGCAAAATACGGGCCGATGCTGTGGACAAGAAGTAAGGCAAAATTCGCGCCAATGCTGTGGACAAGAAGTAAGGCAAAGTTCGCGGCGATGCTGTGGGCAAAAGGAAGGCAAAATAAGCGCCGATGCTGTGGACAAGAAGTAAGGCAAAGTTCGTGGCGATGCTGTGGACAAGAAGTAAGGCAAAATTCGCGGCGATGCTGTGGACAAGAAAGAAGGCAAAGTTCGCGGCGATGCTGTGGACAAGAAGGAAGGCAAAATAAGCGCCGATGCTGTGGACAACAAGGAAGGCAAAATTTGCGGAGATGCTGTGGACAAGAAGTAAGGCAAAATAAGCGGCGATGCTGTGGACAAGAAAGAAGGCAAAGTTCGCGGCGATGCTGTGGACAAGAAGGAAGCCAAAATAAGCGCCGATGCTGTGGGAAAGAAGGAAGGCAAAATTCGCGGCGATGCTGTGGACAAGAAAGAAGGCAAAGTTCGCGGCGATGCTGTGAACAAGGGGGAAGGCAAAATAAGCGCCGATGTTGTGGACAAGAAGGAAGGCAAAATAAGCGCCGATGCTGTGGACAAAAAGAAAGGCAAAATTCGCGGCGATGCTCTGTGGACACAAAATAAGGCAAACTTCGCGGCGATGCTGTGGACAAGAAGTAAGGCAAAGTTCGTGGCGATGCTGTGGACAAGAAGGCAAAGTTCGAGTCGATGCTGTGGACAAGAAGGAAGGCAAAATAAGCGCCGATGTTGTGGACAAGAAGGAAGGCAAAATAAGCGCCGATGCTGTGGACAAGAAGGAAGGCAAAATACGCGCCGATGCTGTGGACAAGAAGGAAGGCAAAATTCGCGGCGATGCTGTGGACAAGAAGTAAGGCAAAGTTCGCGGCGATGCTGTGGACACAAAATAAGGCAAACTTCGCGGCGATGTTGTGGACAAGAAGTAAGGCAAAGTTCGTGGCGATGCTGTGGACAAGAAGTGAGGCAAAGTTCGCGTCGATGCCGTGGACAAGAAGGAAGGCAAAATAAGCGCCGATGCTGTGGACAAAAAGAAAGGCAAAATTTGCGGAGATGCTGTGGACAAGAAGTAAGGCAAAATAAGCGGCGATGCTGTGGATAAGAAAGAAGGCAAAGTTCGAGGCGATGCTGTGGACAAGAAGGAAGGCAAAATAAGCGGCGATGCTGTGGATAAGAAAGAAGGCAAAGTTCGAGGCGATGCTGTGGACAAGAAGGAAGGCAAAATAAGCGCCGTTGCTGTGGAAAAGAAGGAAGGCAAAATTCGCGGCGATGCTGTGGACAAGAAAGAAGGCAAAGTTCGCGGCGATGCTGTGGACAAGAAGGACGGCAAAATAAGCGCCGACGCTGTGGACAAGAAGGAAGGCAAAATAAGCGGCGATGCTGTGGACAAGAAGTGAGGGAAAATTCGCGGCGATGCCGTGGACAAGAAGGAAGGCAAAATAGGCGCCGATGCTGTGGACAAGAAGGAAGGCAAAATTCGCGGCGATGCTGTGAACAACAAGTAAGGGACAATTCGCGGCGTAGAAAGATAATTATGTGGCAGGCAGAGCGGAGGGCAGGCTGGCGAGATCGCCAAGGCTACCTCTGTTCAGTGTGCGGGTTTGCCACGGTCCGCCACGGTCTTGCAAGCTTCGGCATTGGGGCGCGCGCGCGTGCGCAGTCTCTGAGGTGCAAAATGCGAGGCAAGCGCAGCACTTGCCACAGACTTGCAGTTCAGAAAGAAGAAGAAGAGAAAAAAAGAGACGAGAAAAAAGAGAATACGTTGGAGGTAAACAGAACAGGGGGGCACGTTTTTTCTCCAAGCACAGTACTTTTTCAGAAACGTCCGTCATCTCGTTGCCACACCTTGTAAATTGGACTGGATCTCGACATTGTGACCCACTGCAGTCAGCAAAGCTTTGGTTCCGAACACATCACACGCTTGTTCAATTCTTGCGCCAAGCACGCTGTGTGCCGGAAAAGCCTCCAATTCAGGCGGTTCAGGGTAGATCAGGCGCATCAAGCATTCCGGGGAAGGACCCCGCTCTTGACAGGGAAAAACGCGATTGCTGCGCGACCCTCATTTCCTATAAAATCAGAATTGGCGAAGGCGGCCGCTTTTGAATTCAGTGGAAATTTCCCGAGCCAAAGAAACCAAACTTCGGGCCAAGGCAGATGCGCCATAAAGCTTGTTCCGCAATCTCCATGTCACGAAAGCTAGACCCTTGGAGCTAAGCTGGAGTTCTCGTCCTCAGCTTGGCCCGAGCATGAGAAACACGGCCCATCTGTCGGCCATCGGTCCTCCAGCGGCAGCTCCGCCACAAAGCGCGCCAGCAAGTCAGGGGCCTCCCCCCGCAGCAGCGAAGCCAGCACCTCGTTTCGAGTCGCAAAGAAGGCCAGGAAACAAGAGGGGCTTCTTGCATCGCCTGGTTGGGACAGCACCCAATTTTGACCAGGCCTTTGGAAACACGGGGGTTGTGTGACGCATCAAGCATCTCCTCGAGGCGTGTGAACTCTCGGGAATCCGTATTGATGAAATCTCTGCACCAGCCCGGGTTGCCCTACTTTACGAGAGCAAAAGGGCCTTGCGTGAATGGTTCAAGGCCTTGCGTGGGAAGCTTCGGTGAGGCTAGCGCGCTTCCGTTTCCGCAAGTTAAACGGCTCATTTGAGGAACCAAATCTCAAATGACTTCTCGCATTTGTAGTGGAATCTGCTGGAAAGCCAGAGCTCTAATGATTAAAGATCAGAAGCTGGAAGGCTATGGCAGGCCTTTTAGGTGGAAACCAGGCGGTAAAAAACCTCGTTTGTTCGCTTTTCTTGCCGTTTGCTGTTTCAGGCTGCGATGTGTCGAGTTGCAGTTGTGGGGGGGGGTGTGGGGGTGGGGGTGGGCGTGCTACTGTCGCGAAAGGCGTGCACGCAAACGAACACACACACACACATGCGAGCGCGCGCAGGTTGATTCGTGGCCAATATTGAAAGCAAATGCTGGCGCCTGGAGGGCACCATGTCCATCCCAGCAAACATGAAAATGCTAGAAGAGACCCTGTGACGAGGGGAGCACGCAAACGACCTGCTTGCTTCGTAGTGGGGACTCAATGTATAGACAGATGGTGGCAATCATTGCAAGACTTTTTACAAACTCATGATGCAGCGTCACTCTACTGTGGTTCGCTACACGCAGAGCTCTGTTTGGAAGTCTCAGCTTTCCATTGAAAAGGATTGCTGCCATGCGTTGGCTGCAGCTTGCTATTGAACTCCAAGCTTTTGAGCAGCCTGTGACCTTTTAGGAAACCGGCGTTTTTCTGACCGTAGTGTTTTTGGATCATGTCAATAACATGGACCGGCCTCCCAAGATGAAAGTGTCATTTTGTGTCTGTTTTACATATATTTTCCCCAACAGCTGAAAGCTTTGGGGTCTCAGCCCAGACGTGCGTCGGTCGAAACCTCAGATTGATGTAAAGGACATCAAGCTTTTGGAGGGGGCCTATCGCTTTCCCCTGTTTCAAGCACCGCCCAAGCAAGCCTTTTCAAACCAAAATCGTCAGAGGTGGTGTGGTTTGGCCCTGCCAACCACCACAGAGTGGCAAGCCGGCGAACTCAACACAACCAACAAGAGGCACACCTATCATAGATATCTACATGCTTACATGATCACTCTACGTGCCTAGTCGGGTTACTGACCAAAAGTTCTGCGTGGAGAGTGCAGTTCACACTCCCCAGACTCTCCAAATACTCCGGACGCTCTAAAATGATTTTTGGGTACGGTTTGGCCCTTTTAGCAAGCCGGCAGGTCTGGACCCAAAAGCAGTCAAAGATGAACCTTGCTTCAGCTGCTTTCCCTTGTTTCCCCAAAAACCATGGCTGGGCTCCAAAATGGGTTTGGGGTTTGCCACCAGGCTTCAAAGTTCCTTTTGGGTGTGGCTTGGCCCTTCCAACGGAGCCCAGTTTCGGAACTCAAAAAAACCAACCAACAAGAAACAAGGCACACCTATCACGGATACTTACATCCTCGCACGATCACTCCCGTTGGCTGCCCTAGCCTGTTGGGGTTGCTGACTTGTTGGGGCTTGAAAACAAACCAAAAGTTGTCGCCCGAGAAAAAACCGATGTCCCCTTACGCCAAGAGAGCTGAGTGCGATGCTTCAAGCCCAAGGAACGGGCGCAAGCGGGGCGAGAAGAAACCGGAGAAAGAGAGGGAGGCAGGTGCCATAACGAATGGGCGGGTGCAGGGTCAAAAAAATATATTCACGGGATCAAAGACAAATTATCTCGCCTGGGGGTGCCAAAACGCTGAAATTTAATTTTCGGGCAACAACGCGCGCATTTTACGGCTCCAGCTTAAAAATGGACACTTTCCAATACAAGCGCAGTACGCGAAGGTCACTTTGGCACCTAAACCCAGCCTAAACCAACCCTAGGCCTGCCCTAACCCTGCCCTACACTTACCCTAAACCACCGTAAGCTTAGCCTAAACCATCCCTTAACCCAACCCCAAACCAACCCTAAGCCAACCCTAAACCACCCGTAAACCCACCCTGAACCAACCCTAAACCGCAAACCCACCCTAAACCTACCCGAAGCCAACCTAAAACCACCCCAAACCCAACCTAAACCTACCCTAAACCAGCCTAAACCAACCCTAAACCAACCCTACCCTATGCTCACCCTAAACCACCGTAAACTTAGCCTAAACCATCCCTTAACCCAACCCTAAACCAACCCTAAGCCAACCCTAAACCACCCCGAAACCACCCTAAACCCAACCTAAACCAACCCCAAACCAAACCCCAAACCCACCCGAAACCCAACCAAAATTGACCCTAAACCAACCTTGAAACCAACCCTACACAACCTTAAGCCAACCGCTCCAGTTCGAAAATCACAACTTTTCAGATACAAGCGCAGTTCTAGCAACGAATCTAGCGTCGGTTAAATGCCTGTAGGGTTGGCTTAAGGTTGTGTAGAGTTAATGTAGGTTGGGATTCGGGCGGGTTTGGTTTAGGTTTAGTGGGTGGTTTAGGGTTGGCTTAAGGTTGTGTAGGGTTGGTTTCAAGGTTGGTTTAGGGATAATTTTGGTTGGGTTTCGGGTGGGTTTGGGGTTGGCTTAGGTTGGTTTAGGGTTGGTTTAGGATTGGTTTAGCGTGGGTTTAGGTTTAGGTTGGGTTCAGGGTGGCTTTAGGTTGGCTTAGGGTAGGTTTAGGGTCGGTTTAGGATTGGTGTAGGGTTGGTTTAGGGCGGGTTTAGGGTTGGTTTACAGGGTCGGTTTCAAGGTTGGTTGGGTGGGTGTAGTTTGGCTCAGGGTCGGTTTTGGGTAGGAGAGCAGGCCAGGAGACCAGCAGACCAGGAGACCAAGAGGCCAGGAGACCAAGACACAGGTTTCGTTTTGGTGTCGTTGGGGGGCCGACTGTGGCGCCTGCCCCAGAAGGCAGTTCACACTCCGCAGGCTCTGCGGAAAGGTGCTCTTGACAGACCGAAGATTTTTGACTTTTGGGGACGGTTTGGCCCTTTTAGCAACCACAAAACAAGCCGGCAGTCAAAGATGAACCTTGCTTCAGCTGACTTGCTTTCCCTTGCAAGTTTCCTCAAAAAACCTCCAAAAAGGGTTTGGGGTTTGCCACCAGGCTCCAAAGTTCCTCAGGTATGGTTTGGCCCTTCCAACCACCACAGAGCAGCAAGTTGGTGAGCCCAGTTTCGGAGTTCAAAAAATCAACCAACAAGAAAAAAGGCACACCTATCACGGAAACAAGGCACACTTATCAAAGAGTGACATAATGGAAAATCTTCTTCCGCCCGCTCAATGCATTCAGCTCTAAATTGCAACCTCGCTAAAACACCCGCACACTATCGCCGGTGGCATAAAACCACGCAGAGCGGTGCCCGCAAATCCCCAGAACCATGCGCCTGCTTTAATTTAGGCCAACATCTCTTCCATACATCCCTTGCAAACACTCTGAAGCATGAAGGTTATCGCTTTTGAGGGGGCCTATCAGTTTTCCAGACTTTCAAAGTCTGGACGAACTTCATGCCCGTTCCTTGATAAAGCGGTCTTTTGAAGGTTTTGGCCCTGAGGTAAGGTTCCAGGGTTCCACGAGCGTTCCACAAGGGTTCCACAAGGGTTTTGCAAGGTTCCACCAGCGTTCCACCAGTGTTCCACGAGGGTCCGAGCACTAAAAAGAGCACCGCGTGCTGTTGAAGATATCACCTGGGTAGTGCTTTTTGTTGGTGCTCGGGGCCTATACACTGCACACATGCCTACGCGAGCGCCTACGCGACTGCAAGGGGCACCTACGCGCGCGCGTTTGTCTCTTGTCGCGCCTACGCGGACGCCTACGCAAGAAAATCGCGCGCTGCTTTTTTCCAGCTCGAGCTTTGCAATGCCAAGTCAATCGTTGTAGAAGAAGCAGATGATGTGGAAGAGGGTTGCACCGCCAAAGCGTGATAACATGTTTGATTTCCAGGGATCCCCTTTCTTTGTCGTGGCCCTGAATCAGCATTTGAGCAGTGTTTTGTTTGGTGGTTCGGGGCCTATACACTACTTGCCTACGCGATCACAAGTCAGCTTCCAGGTGCCTACCTGCGCGGGCAAACGTTGAGTTCAAGCGTCGAAGTGCACTGTGGCAGCTCCAGCTGGAAAATCGCAACTTTTCAGTACAGGTGCAGTTTTGGCAGCTCCGGCTCTAAGATCAGAAATGCAGCACACGTGAGAATCCAACATGTGTCCAAGGATCTGGCCGCTAGAAAAGGTCTACGCACCCGAAATGCCTTGAAAGCCTACGCGAATGAATGCCTACGCGGGGCCTACGCGGAGCGGAGCCTACGCGAAGACTGCAGAACAAACAGAAGGATGGCAAAAGAAGCAAATTCCTTCATAAGTGGCAAACAGTCATGATTTGTTCAATAAACGCCTACGCGAAAAGCCTACGCGAGGGGTGACACAACAGCCTACGCCCCCAACCAGGATTGCCTCCGCAAAGTACATGCAGTTCCCTTTTTGCATAAACTCTTTCATTTGATTAAAAAACGCTGCTCATTTGAACAATGGACTGCCGCCATTATATGGGCGTTCGTTTTACTGGGGGACCCTTTTGATGGACATCTGGGGGGATTCATGTCCGCCAACCGCTTTGCCAATTCTTAACCATGTTGGCTCAAGAACCCTTTTCTCAGTGTGTCTGCAACAGCTCAGCCAAACCCATGCCCTTCCATATGCATTGTAAAACATAAAGCTTCTGACAATACATAACAACTCCATCAAGTGCCTACGCGCGCGCCTACGCAAGAAAAAAAATACAAGGATGTGCGCAAAATGCATACGCGATGCCTCCGCGCGCCTACGCCCCCCAGCTAAATTGCCTATGCGGACACGATGCAGTTCCCTTTTTGTATAAATCTTGATTCCAAGAAGAAAACGCTGCCCACCGGCCATCACGACTAACCGTTCGAGCATCATTATTTTGGCATTTGTGGCGGCTTTCGCGCATTCTCTTGTTGCGTTTTGGTGGTGAGCTGTGCAGCGACGAGCGGAGACCGGGTTTTTGGTCAATACGTTTTACGTGGTATACGTGGGCGGCTTGCGTTGCCTTTCACGCAAATGTGCTCCTTTACGTGTTTTTCGTGCTTGACGTGGGTTTGATTCAGGACAGGCGGCCAGTTTGTTTTGCTGCGCTGAGAAGCTGCCACGAGCCTTGCGTTTAGCTTCACGGTGTTTGTGCGGCTACTTGCCAGAGCTGCCAGATGGCTCCATCAACCCAACGCTAATGAAGGAAGTGTCTCTGCGTGGCAGTGGAGCGACAATCTGACGGCTAAGCAGAAGCCGAGAATATTGGCTTGACTTGTGAATGTAGCGCTTGCTCGGCAGTGGCATTGCAGCGCGGCAGCAGATGAAGTCGAAGCATGATGAAGTTTGACGGTTCACTTGTGGCAAGAACGGCAATCACCCCCCCCCCCCCCCCGCCCCCTGCCATATGCAGAAATCACACGATTGACACGATTGGATCAGTAGGGTCCTCGCCACAAGCTTGCCGCGATGTTCGTTGGATAATAGCCTACGCAGAAATGTTAGGCTGTCAAAAGCCAGAAGTATGGCCCTTCGGGACTAACACTGTTAGCGGCACGAAATGTTGCCGAAACTGGTCCCAAAACAGGAGACATTTTTGCGCAACGTGACACATGCACTGAACCTATCGGTCGTGTTTGAGCACCGCGCCCATCCGCTCAGCTGTGCCTTGCCTTCGGTATCGTCCTGGAACAGAGCAGGCCACTGGCAATCAGGAAGAAAACCAACCACTCTGGATTCCCTTTCCTGCAATCCAGAATGTGAAATCACTGGCGCGCATGGGGGGTGATCAATATTCCTGGCCCGAGATGACCATGATTAACTTTGTGGGACATATCATCTTTTTCGCCCTTTTCCCCGCTTCAGATCAACCCACGTGCCAGCTCGTGGCCCTCGGCCACCCCTCCCACCTTCTCGCCACGAACACCTGACGCACCCGCCCTTGGTCTGAAACCTCAATCCTCTCCTTTTCTCACCGCGAACTGGCCCGAACCAGAAAGTTCAACATCCCAAACAGCTTGAAGTCCAGAAACTTTAGCGCAGGACGCCGCAAAGCTGCAATCCAGTCCGGCAAACAACGGAATGCGCCGGCTGCGACACGGGCTGGCTTTTCTAGTGCGCAAATGAAACTCCAGAGGCTGCCCGCCCCACTAATCTATGTTGAAAGGGTTGGGATGGCACCCAGAAAGCATTCTCTAAAACATTCTGCCCGTTGCCTTGCTTCTGGTTTACCTTGTAGGTTTGCCTTTGGTTTGCTTTTGGCTTGCCTTTGGTCGTTTCTGGCGCCTTCGCCGCCATCAGCCATCGCATCGTCACTGGTGATCCTATGGTGGAACAGAATAGGCACGTCTATCTAGTTCCAAATTCAAAAGACAACGGCAAACGGCTTGAATGCTTAGACAAATGCTTGCAATTGTTGTGAAAGCCAGGAACAATCGAAGACTCTTGATGGGCTCTTTGTCTGACATTGCTGAGTCAGATACGGCAAATAGTTGCGTGACAACGGGCTTTGGTCGAATCTGCGCGCAGCTCTCTTTACACAAGTGGACAAGGCACCTTTTGCCGCGTTGAGCTTCCTTTAGCACACGCAATGACCGGCAGCCGTAAACCTTCCAAGCACCCCAAGATTCGCAGCAAATATGATTGAACACACACTTGTACTTTTCTTGGCAAGGGAGTAAAGTCTCTTGCAAACAACTGTCACTAGATCATGGGTGCTTTGTGCTACCTGCAGGTCACACTCACGTTCGCCGCCCGCCGCTCGAGCAACTCGAAACCTGGAACTACAAGCTCCACGGAGCAGACAAGGGCTGTGCTCAGTAGGGCGAATACCTGAGCGAAAGCAAATTTTGAGCCGAGGGCTGCATTCAAACCACTCCGTCAGAGCGTATAGAAACCAGAGCCTCTGCTTGTCAAGGTTGCGTTGGCAAGGGCCATGCTGCAAGCAGCTGAGAGCTTGACCCCTTTCCTTTGCCTTTGTATCCTTTCCTGATGCGCGAACATGCGCGAACGGGGACCGTGACGGCGGCGGCAACTTGTCAACACCTTTGCTTTCAGCCCGGCCAAAGCTGACAGTCCTCCAGGGCGCGTAGCCACCCCAATACCTGGCCAAAACTTTCAGGATGCCAGAGGCCCTGTTTGGGGATCTGAGTCCCAGTGAGGCAGAAACCAAGTGGCCCAAACGTCCAAACCACCAACCTTTTTGCGTTCCCTATTGGGGGTGGGAAGCGCTCAGGCCCCTGGACGGGTTGTCAAGCTTGCAAGGCCCACGGATCTGCCCAAGAATCCCACGGGTCGTAAAAGCCTAGGTGCAAACACTTTGCGACCGTATTTTTCCAACAATCATAGAAGTGAACAAAGATCTTGTTTGCGCACTTCCATGAATGTCGGAAAATGGAATAGCTCTGAGAGCGCAACCCTTGCCTTTGCCTTTCTTGCCCTTTCCTCACACAGGCGTCTTTGACCGCGCAAGCGTCAAGATGAATCTGGAGCTCGTCAAAAGGGTGCCGTGCCCCAGTTCGTGTTGAAACTAAGCTTGTACCCCATGTACCTCCAAAAGAGGCGTCTTTACCGAAGCTTGTGAAAGCCCCTTTCTTGGGCTCAACGCTGGCGCTCATTTGCGCAAAGACATGCGCTGCCCTTGGAAAGTCGTGGCTTGGGTTCCGCTGATTAAATGCAATCTTCATACAAACACCTACCTGGCGACGCTACATGGGCTGGGGCCATGTTTTTCACTGAGCTGCGCCAAAGGAATTAAATGTCCGTTTGGGTGGCCAACCGCAACGCTTGATCCAGTTCAGCTTTTCCTCCGGATGCCCAAGCCCAAGGCTTTTGGGCTAGGCGTCATCGATGCGAACAGACTGCGCAAAGCAATTGGTTTCTAGCAATTCTGCGCTCAGCAGCTTTGACGCGTTTTTATGTTGAGCTGATTACTCTGGAATACGAGTCTGCCACCTGCGCAGGAATACGCATCCGCCAGCCAAATTGAATAGTCGCACAACTCACTCACATACTGCGCACGCCAGACATACGAATCCGCCACATGCGCAGGAGTACGCAGCCGCCAGCAAAGTTGAATCGGAACCTACGCAACTGCAAGTACTGCACGCGTGCAGGAATTCGCATCCGCCAGCTAAATTGCATAGGAACCTACGAGCGACTGCACGCGCTACGCGTTCGCCAGCCAAATGGCTGTGGGTCAAAAATAGGTACCCAAAATGGAACCTTAGTGAAGGGAAACATGGACTACAACCTGCGGTCTAGTGGTTTTCTTTTGACCCACACCCAAGTTGAATAGTTGCACAACTGCACATACTGTGCATGCGCAGAATACAAATCCGCCACACGCGCAGGAATTTGCATCCGCCAGCCACCTTGACTAGGAACCTGCGCAACTGCACATGCTGCGCACGACCAAAAATACGCATCCGCCAGCCAAATCGCATAGGAACCTACGCGCAACTGCACGTGCTGCGCACGCGCAAGCATACGCATCCGCGCAGGAATACGACTCCGCCACAAGCGCAGGAATACGCATCCGCCAGCCAACTTGAATAGGAACCGACGCAACTGCACATGCTGCGCACGCGCAGGAATACGTGTCTGCCAGCCAAATTGCGTAGGAACCTACGCAAGTGGCCGGCGAGGAACCAGTTCTTCTGCGCAGGCCGCCTTTTTCGCTCGGGTTTGAGACCAACCGTGTCCGAATCACAGACCCCACCCAAGACCATGGGAACGAAGCAACCAAGGAAGGGTTGATTCCCCAGATTCAAGCTGAGACTGCTTCACCCCGCACCATCTGCCGTCCGGGCTGGGTGACTTTAAAGCGGCGTGCGCCGCCAGTTTATCGCTGCGAGGGTTGAAAAGGCCCTCCTTCAAGAGCACTTGTGGTGAACCAGCTTTGCGTCTGCGACTTCCCCTCGGAGCAAGCCGCCGTCTTGTCCAAAGTCCAAAGCCTGAGCAGGGACGTTTGCCCTTCTTGCGCTGTGCTGCTGACCCTCTGAGCCTAGCAGTCTGTGCTGTGTTGGAGTGCCATCTGCTACCACAGGCCACCCATCCAGCGCCAGGCTACTAACTATTGAACTTGCCCTAGGTTTTCAGAAGCCGTCGAAGCCCACCAGTTCTCATCCTCTGGTAGCAGTGATCCGTCTCTGTCCAGGTTGTAGCTCAGTCCCGATCGCTCTTCAGAATGACACTGATATTACAACTTATCTCCGTTCACCTGGAGCTTCAAACCCTCGATCAGTCGATTGCCCAAACCGCGACATCTGAGGTAGAGGTACGTCTTGCCGACGTCGTTGAGGCGCAAGCCAGCTTCTTCTTGCGCAGTCTCGTGCCTGGCATTGAGAGATCCGCGCTGGCGGCCTCCTGCAAGCCACGGGTGTCCTGCGAAGCGCTGCGCTGCTTCTGCGGTGCGATAGCAGGGTGCAGCTCCTGGTCCGTCTGGCTAGCTGGATGAGCGCCTTGTCGCCCGTTGTCTAGTTGAAGGCGAAGAGCGCTTGCAGCCGCCACCGCCGAGACGAGCCGCCACCAGAGGGCCGACCTGCGTCTCCTGGAGCTCTGTCACGCGGTACAAAAGTACATCTTCGTGGAATAGTTGCGCCTGCTGCGTGAGCTTGTGGAGGGGGTGTTGCCCATCGGAAGCGGCCATGATGCCAAGGAAGACCGCAAGGCTGACAAGGATCAACATGTACGCGGTGAGCAAAGTGCCCAGAAACGAAGCGGTGTCACAAGCGGTCTGCACCGCCTGCGCCTGCACGGCGCCGAAGGACCCTGCGAGTGGCTCCACTACCAGAGTTGGCAGTCCTACCTGCGGGCGTTACCCTTTTTTACGCTGCCTGGTACGGCCGCGGTCTGAATGTGAAAACATGATCTCTCACTAACTTCCGTCAGGCAGCACTGGTGACGAAGCCTCTGAGGAGGTCCAAAACTCCGCGGAACATTTCGGGGGAGCAACGCGGTCCCGCGCTAGCCTTGTAAGCTGCTATAAAATCAAACGTCGGCTGACAGCCGAAGAGAATCGAGGCCCGTCCTTTGCCTTTGCCTTTGTTGAAGCCAGGGATATTGGTTCTCTTCTGAGTGACCTTGCCCAGGCTGTTTTCACAGCGCGAAAGAATCAATGGGTTCAGGGCGCTTGAGGAGAATGGTCAAGTGGTCATAGTGCCCAAAGCTGGCTCAATCTGACTGGCTATTCTCAAGGCAGGCCTTCAGCTGTCTTCCTCGGAAGAGAGATCCGTTCAGCAGGAGCGAGTTCCTCACTGGCTCAGTGGCTTAGTCGGAAACTGCATGATACCTGTTGCCACGTCTGTTTTGCCACACCCGTCAAGACTAATAGCCGTATCATGTGGCACACACTGAAGTCTTTGAGCGCTTTCCGAACCCAAGCTGCTGCACACTCTGCTCATCACCGAACTCTATGTAGGCACGGCCCTGCGCAACCCAATCCACGCACACTCCCTCACCTGCAATTTGAGGAGTTCCCCCCCCCATGCCCCCGACGCAAACTAGCAATCACGGGGTCCTCGAAACTTAAGAAAAGGAGACAAGACCACCAAGCCCGGATTGAGCTTCTACTCTTTTTCACTCATTTGTCACTTTGCTGTTTGGACCTCTGCTTTGGCGTTGAAGAAGCTGAACACGATTTTCCTTACTCAACCGGGATCAACCACACATGTGAAGGGGTAGACAGCTGCCAACGCGAGGATATTTTTCGATGGTTACACAAACAGACAGACAGACAGACACAGACAGAGACAGACAGACACAGACAGAGACAGATAGAGACAGACAGAGGCAGACAGAGACAGACAGAGACAGACAGACAGACAGACAGACGCGCAGACAGGCAGGCAGGCAGGCAGGCAGGCAGGCAGGGAGACAAACAGACAGACAGAGAGACACACACAGACACAGAGACACACAGAGGCACACAAAGACACACGCAAAAACAGACACAGAGACAGACACAGAGACAGACACAGAAACAGACACAGAGACAGACGCAGAGACAGACACAGAGACAGACACAGAGACAGACACAGAGACAGACACAGAGCAGACACTGAGACAGACACACACACAGACACACACACAGACACACAGACACACAGACACACACACACACCACACGCGCATACACACACACACACACGCGCGCACACGCATGCACACACATACACACACAAACACAAACACAAACACAAGCACAAGCACAAGCACAAGCACAAGCACAAGCACAAGCACAAGCACAAGCACAAGCACAAGCACAAGCACAAGCACAAGCACAAGCACAAGCACAAGCACAAGCACAAGCACAAGCACAAGCACAAGC